AAAAAAAAAAAAAAAAAAAAAAAAAAAAAAAGACCTGATCAAAAAGGGGCAAGTACAGTGAATAGACACTTCACTGAAGACATACAAACGGCCAATAAATGCATGAAGAAAAGTTCAACATCACTGGCCACTAGCAAAATGGAAATTAAAACAATACTGAGATTCTGTCTTACCCCAGAAAGAACATCCATCATGAAGAAACCAAGTAATAACATGCCAGTGAGGCTATGGGAGAAAAGGAGCTACTACACTGTGAGTCAGTAAGAATGTAAACTAGTACAACGTCTACAGAAATCAGAATGGAGAGTCCTCAAAAAACTAGACTTATTTGATCCCCGGTACCAAAAACAAAAAAAGTAAAGCTAGAAATTCTATTTGACCCAGAAATTCTCCTTCTAGGTGTCTTCCCAAAAGCGTTAGACATCACATTACAGTGATACACACACACGCGTGTTTATAGCAGCACGATTCATAGTAGCCAAATCTTGGGAAGCAGCCCGTATGTCCATCAACAGATGAACGGAGAAAGAAAAAGTGGTGTTTATACACAACGGAGCACTATTCAGCCATAAAAAGAGGTACACTTGAGTCACTTGCAGGAAAATGGATGCATTTGGAAACCATAATGTTAAGTGAAGTAAATCAAGATGTACAAGCTTAAATATTGTGTAATTTTTCTTATATGAAAAACCCAAAGTATAGTAAAGAGCAAAATACAAGATAACAAGATAGATCGTTTTCAAATGGCAAAGGGATGAAGAGATGGAGGGAGGGAGGAAAAGGGGATGAAAGAGAAATTAAGACACATTGTGTGCACGTGCCGACCCCACACGAGGGGTTTAAAGCTGACGCACTGCACACATGCACAGCAAACAGAAACAGCGTGGAGTCTGCTCCCGCCTCCCTCACTGATCTGGCACCGTGTGAGCGTTCTGATCAACTTAGCACCTCAAGGCACCTGCAGCCATGCACCGCAGACACCAGATGCTGTACCCTGCTCATACTACGCACACCTACATTAGTAACTAAGAAGAATACTGAAAGGTCAAGTTTGAGTTATTTTATCTAAAAGTGTAAGCTACTCAAAGCTCAGATCTTAAATAAAAAGTTAATGATGCAGGCTTTGTGATCTTGTTAGCTATTTGATACAAATAAGCCAACTCAAGGTGTCATTAAACATTTTGATAACTGTAAAAGTTACACAGTGGCAGTTAATACTAAATAGTGAGTCAGAATTAATGAATATTAAAAACAATAAGCCAGGGTTGCACAGGTAGGAGTGTGGCTCTGGCTATACCTACGAATCCCAAGGCATGTGGGCCACAGTCCCAGCACTGCTCTCGGGCTGCACCGTGCCGAGCTCCAGGTCTGCCGTGAGCCGAAGCCTGAAGCTGCTCATGAAACCCACAAGCCAGCTCCCCAGGGCCCTGCCTGTGGCCACAGCTTCCTGGCTTTTATCTGCGAGGTGGTATCTTCATACACTGGCCAAAGGGTCATACTGCAAAGCTACTTCTTGCCCAACCAAGGGGTAACTGTTTATTAGCAACATCAAACTGAGAAATAACATCATGACCATCTCTCCTGGAGCTTCAGATTCTCGGGGCTCTGAAGAGGTTTTGCCTTCTGTGGTTTAGCCGGGGATAAATTAGAAAGTGTGCTACTTGTGCCCTCACCGTGCTGACCAGATTCAAGGAAGGCAAAGCCTGTATACACAATTTGAAATACAAATTTTTTCTTTAAAATGAACCAGGCGAGGTGGTGAATGCCTACCACCCAGGTAGCTGAGGAGATGTAGGCAAGAGGATCAGAAGTCCAAGGCCAGCCTGGGCAGTTTGGTGAGACCTTGTCTCAAAATAAAAAGGGCTGGGGGGTGTAGCTGTGTGGTAAGCACTCCCCAACATACAACATTCCCTGGATTCAGTGCCCTGTACTTCAAAAGAAAAACAGAAAAGAGAAAACAAAAAAAACATGAAATAACAATGAAATGAGTGAACACTTTCACTATCAGGCCCTAATTTTTTCTATCCCTATCAAGAAGGGCCGAAGGAAGGCTTTCTGCGCTTCCTACAAGTCCATCTCTGTGGGCCCCTTTGGCCTGGAGCTCCTTCCACATTTGTGTGACAAAGGCCTGAAGGTGATTTAGCTGGAACCTCAAGGGTCCTAAGGAGCAACTCCACATCCCCAGAGATCAGAGGGATATCCACATTAGTCAGGAAAGTAACAAAACCTCCTTCTCCATGCCCAGCCCTTCATAATACCTCATTTTCAGATACAGAAGCATTATTGGAATCTATACAATGGACAAGCGTAGGGAAATCAATGAAACTCTACCCACACCAGCCCCTGCCAGGCACCTTCCTTCTCACTGACTCCTGCGCAGAGTTCACTTTTAAATGTTACACATAATATGCGCCTCTTATAAAAGTGTCAGCAGCACTGGCCAAATCGCACAATGTACTCATGCAGTTTCCTCCTCACCCTTCCCGGGCCCATTCCCAGTGAAAATTGGGGCTATTCCGAGTGGTCACTTCAGGATACACGCCAACACACAATGGGCGTGTTGTGAGGCGCTTTCCCTTTCTAACTCAGCAGAGGCAAAACGACACTGAATATACCATTCTGTGCTTTCGCCTGTCATGCACCGAGATGGACTTGCAGGAAGCACAGAAAGCCTTTCTTCGGGGCCCTTCTTGATAGGGATAGAAAAAATGATACACCAGGACATCTTCCCGCAGTACCATGAAGGTTTCTTGCTTTGTAGAACCAACTTTTACTATGCTGCTGCGTCTCATTAGCAGAGGTACTAGTCTTTTCCATTTTGCTGTAGGTCAACATTTCAAAGCACTGAAGGAACTACCTATATAAAAGGAATGCTGGAACAACACTTTAAGAAAATGAAGCAGGGGCCAGCGATTTAGCTCAGAGGTTCCACCGCCTGCCTGGCAAGTGCAAGGATCCAAGTTACCAAAAAAGAAAATGAAGTGTGCTTTTAAAATATGCTGCCTTCTAATTTTCTATATAATGGGATTTTTAAAAAATAGTACCATTTTTCTCAAACTAGAGTTCACTTTGCAAGAGTTTTGAAAAAGAATAAATTTAGGGCCAGAGATTTAGCTCAGTGATTCCACCGCTGTCTTGCAAGCTCAAGGTCCCGACTTTGATCCCCGGTACC